TAGTTCACATATTATGATCCCAAGTACATGAAATCTCCAGAATCAGCCAATCTACAGGGATAGAAAGCAGACCGGGGGTCGTGGGGGGCTGGCCAGGAGTGGACCCGGGAGTGAGTGGAATGGGTGAAAGGCTTCCTTTTGGAGAGATGAATGTCTGACTAGGTGGAGGGGGCGGTTGTGCAACATGTGGATGTGCTGAACGCCTGTGAATCGTTTGCTTTCAAGTGGTTAATTGTTAAATTATGCGTGTGAATGTCATCATCTCAATACAGCAAAAAAGTGGCCCCAAAAAGGGGGAAAAATGTGGACCTGAGATTCCAGCAAGGACCGGTCAGGCAGCAGCTCAGGTGGGGGAGGAAGGGAGGAAGGTGACTTGGAAATGGAGCCTCGTGAACCAACTTTTTCAGTTGATATTTGTCATTCTCAGGATCCCTTTAATAACCCTAATAATATCCTAATAGTCCTGGGCTATCCCACGTTTATTAGGCATCAGGGAAGGGGGCGGCACTTCCCTAGATGCCGGCTCTGGGAGAGCCTCTGCCTACTTGACCTTCCTAAGCATGGACGCCGACCCCTGAACGGGGTGTCTTTGCCCAACACGGATGTGCAGCCTCCGCTCATCCTGGCTCTGGGGCCCCATTTGGAAAGCCCTACGGCTCCCCCAGGGCGGATGTCCCAGAGGCTGTCGCTGACCCTCCTAGGATGTCCTTGGCCCCGTTTCCTGATAGGTGACTGGTGCCATGGACAGGTACTACTCTGCACAGACCGCGGGAGGCGCCATCCTGTGAGTGACACCCGCAGCACTCCCGGGAACCTTAGCTCAAGGTCACCAGGCACAGCACGCGTGGGGCGCGAGGGGGGATGGTGAAGGTGGAGCACATCTCGTCTGTGAGAGCCTCCTTCGCGCAGGGAGGCCGTGGTGGGACTTCCTTCCACCCTGCTCTGGTCACTCATCCCCCCACTTCCTCTCCCATCTCTCTCCTTTCTTTCCTTCGGTCCCTCTGTCCACCCTACGGTCCTCTCTTTCTTCATTATGTCCGTCCATCTGTCCGTCTTCCCTTCTTCCTTCGCTCTCTTTCTCCCTTTCATCTCTGTGTCCATCCACCTGTCCATCCACCCCTCCTCTGCTCCATCTGCGGCCACCAGTTGGGAGTCAGCCTCTCTGACACCGCGGACCTTCTGCTAAGTGAGCTGGTCAGAGCTGGTTCTCGCCGGGGTGTGTGTGGCCTCGTTGCCTGGTGGCTGGGTGCCTGGAGGCTCCTGTGGGTGTTTGGGAGATGACCGTGGCATCCCCGGGTCTGGCTGTGTCCTCCTCACTCATCAAGGGTGGTGGTGGTGGTGAGGGGGTTGTTGGGCGTTTCAGGGGAAAAACAAGAATTGGCTTCAGTTCCCGGTTCTTCAAGGCTGTTGCCATAGCTATAAAGACACGTGGTCCCAGCTGGTCACGGTGAGGTCAGTAACAGGCTCAGAGACCCTGCGCTTCCTGTAGGCTACCTCACACTCTCACAGTAGCCTCTGGGTGAGGGGCAAGTCTTCTCCCCACTGCCAGGTGAGGAAACCCAGGCTCACAGAGGGAGGTCACTCTCTTGAGGTCCCCATCAGGACTAGAGCCCCAATCTCTCCTATCCCAAAGCCTTTGAGCTTAAGCACTAGATGACACTCCTTTGGGGTTGAGGCTTCCTTTATCTTCACCACTGGACGCTCATGTGGAATGAGGTGCCCCCCTGCCTGCCTCCACCTGCTTCCCTCTCCTCCAGCTCTGGGCGGGGAAGAGTCAGTCAACGAGAGCTGCTGTAACAGGAAGCACCTGTCTGGTCCTTGCCACAGGACCCTGGGGGAGATAATAAGCAGGGTTGGCAGCCCCATTGCTGCGAGGGGGCGACTTGGCAGGCACACTGGGGCTCCTTCAAGTGCTGAGTGGCAGGCCTCTTGGAGAGTGTGACTTTTAGGCTGCCTGAGTTTTTAAATTAACAGTTTTCCTTGGCTCTTCCATTCAAGGAGGCTTTGCTTTGACCACCAGAGGGCGCTCAGCTCCCGGCTGCACAGGGTGGGGGTTGGGGAGAGGTGCACAGGAGGGGTGAGGGCAGTTGGGATGCAGTTTTAACCAAGCACCCTTCAACCAGCTCCTGGGGACAGGGAGCCGCGTTTCCAAGCTTTTCATTCATCTGGTGCCAAACTAGGGGCTGAGGGTTCAACCATGGGAACCCCACGGGTTCCTGTCCTTGAGGAGCCTACGATCCAAATAGAAATGGAATGAATGCCACGTGGCACATGCCAGAGTGATCATTTAGGAAGCATCCAGCGACCACCTACTATGTGCCAGTGTCTGCGCTGATTGCCAAAGATAGGAAAATGAACTCTACATTTTCTGGGGGCTGAGATGAGAAATTGGAAAAACCAATTTGGAAAAAAAAAAAAGAATAGAAAACTACAGTCCGACAGATGTGGGGAACCGGGAATAAACATGGCCGCGTGGTGTCAACTCAGGCTGGGAGGGACGAGGGAGCACTAGAGAAGGCTCCCTGCAGGAAGAGTGGCCAGTCCATGCTGGGAGGGACTGGGGTCTCAGAAGGCTTCCTGAAGGAGGTGACATCAGAGCTAAGTCGTCGAGGACAAAGAGGAGGAGAGTGTGTTCCTGGTGGTGGAGGCTCATAAGCCAAGGGTGAGAGGGTCAGAGGACCAGGTCACGGTGCGTGGGACATTAGGAACAGTAGGAACATTCGGTAAGAGGCCATCTTGCCATCTTGCCCTTCCTCTTTAGTCGCTCAAAACTGAGAGGGCTCAGAGCAAGAGAGAGGGAGAAGGACAAATGGAAATATCTACGTGGGGTTCTGGGGTGTTGTGGTGAAGTCCTCCAAGAGGAGAGATGGAGGAGCCTTCCGGGACTCTGCTAGAGGTCAGGGACCATGGGCTCAGGGTGGACAGTGGTCTGGAGTCAGGACTGACGGGGAGAGTCTGGTGTGGATACAGTTAAGAGACGGGCGGGCCACCCTTCCCCTGCCCTTTCCCTATGACCTGTCCTTTCTCTATGTCCTTGTCAGTGGAGAGAGGATAACATGGCATCCTCCTAGAGGTCATGGTGAGGCTTGGAATGAGACCTGAAAAGCCCCAGAGTCAGCCCCCGGGACACGGTCTGTATTCAAAGTAGCAGTAATAGTAGGCGTGGTCAGTGCTGTCGTTAATCTCACGATGAAGCGTCCTGCTTGGTAAACTGGACCGGTTTTAAAATGTCCACACCTGTGTCGAGGCCTCTCGAGATGCCCTCTCTGAGCTGCAGATCAAAGCCCATCAGCACCTGGCTGGAGTGCTTCTGCTTTTAACATTTCCTCCCCGTCTGTTTCTCAGTGTGAAGAGTCCTGTTGGAAATGGAACAACTTCACCTGCTAATTATCTGCTTGCAAGGAAGACGGACAGAGAGAAAATATGGATTCAAAAAGAATCCTGAAAACCCTGGTGTTTTTCTTTATTTGAGCATGGGACGTTGCATAATCGCCAAGCCCCTCACCCCCCTCTTTTGAAATTTTTAGACATTTGAAGAATATGTTTGATTGAGCCCAACCTTGAGTGCGTACAAAAATATCATTCGTAAGATAGTTGATGATAGTTGGCGATAGTAAGACAGTTGGCTTCTGATTGGATATTAACAGTGGTAACACATTTCTGTTAATTAACTGTTTAAATATCACACCATTTCTTTCCTTCAGAGAGTTGTTATAAATTTCCTTATGTTTACAATTCCATGCACCTTGCCTTTTTTGTAGGGTTTTCCACGAATGCACTCTGTGGTAGACAGGGCAGACGCTCACTCAGCCCATTGGGGTTACAGGGTTGAGGTCAGGTTTCCCTCTTCCGTCTTCTCTCGAGTGGATTTGGAGCCGGCCATCGATCAGAGGCTACGAGCTGAGGGTTTCTTCACTTTGCTGTTTAGAGATCATTCAACGAATATTTAAGTTCCTGTTAAATGAGAGGCGCTTGCTAGGTATGGGGGTTTTGTAGAATATCGCATCTCCTGGGTCTTAGAGAGTCTCTGAGATTAGGACCGAACTTTCTAGAAGTTTCCACATTGTTTTAGTTGCGTATACTTCAAAGGAATCCTCAGAGGGATCCCCAGGGTAGATAACAATCATGATGGATCCTGATACTTCAGACTGAGTAATTTACAGGGATTATTTTGTCTAATCTTCTCCACATCCTGGCAAAGAACTCTCTGATGGATAAGAGAGTTAAGTTTGCAGCGTGAAAATGATTCGCCTGAGGTTGGTGAAAGCAGTCGTCAAAATCTGGAGAGTGTGGCCCTGTTCACCAGGCTACGGACACCCCCGGCATGTCCCCACCCCCAGCCCCCAAGTGTTGCTGGTTGCTCTCTGGTGGGAGCAGAGAGGAGGGCTGGGGGCGCACAGGGTCCCCTCTTGACATAACTTCACACATCTCCTGCAGCTGCCCTTGAGGGGCCTCATGGGATCCAGCCCACAGTGTGGGAGGGGCCCACTTCCTTCTGCACCCCCAAGATGGGTACCATCCAGAGCTCCTGGTCAGGGCTGGACTGAGAACCAGTGGGGGTGTGTGCCCAAGCAGGTTGTTCTCATATGGATGCAGATCAGTGACTTGGGGACTGACGTCTCGGATGGGGTAGAGGCCACCTTGACACAGACCTCCTGAATGCACCGAGGTCCACTTCTTCAGACAGCCAGAGGACAGTGTGGGGGCTCGTGACCCTGAGAGCTCAGAGTGTGAGGTGGGAGATGCCCTTGGCCCTGGGCTCTTTAGAGCTTCTTGAGGGAGCAGGGTAGAAAGGATGGCTTGTCCCCTTAGCTGTCCTCTATGGTGGAACGGGCTTTTCGGTGGGGAACCCCCCCCGGCCCCTTTCTCTTTTCCTGGACGCTGTGGACCTTCTCGTGTCTCCCCTTGGGGTTGGGACCCTCCGGGGGGAGACTCAAGCCTGGCCCTAATTCGGAGCCTGGATGGATACATTTCCCTGTGGTCTTCTCTCTCCCTCCCAGGGCCAAGAAGAAGAGCAAACCTTTGAACCTCAAGATCCACAGCAGCGTGGGCAGCTGTGAGAACATCCCTTCCCAACAGCGCTCCCCACTGCTGTCCGAGCGCTCCCTGCGCTCCTTCTTCGTGGGACACGCGCCCTTTCTGCCGTCCACCCCTCCTGTCCACTCGGTCCACACCACGGAGGCCAACTTCTCTGCAAGTAAGTCACCGCCCTGGGGCTGCACTGGCTGGGGGCAGGGGCGGGGACGGGGCGGCCACCTCTGGTCCCCAGCACTTTGGCTTTATGGGCCAGGTGCAGATGATCTGTTTCCCTCTGACACTCCTAAATCGCTCACTGATCAAGGCTCAGCTGGGGCCGCCGCCTCCCCTGCGCACCTCTCACGCCCCTTTGGGTGGTTTTGAAGGGGGAGTGATTGGCAGGTAATCACCGGCCCGAGTTCCTGCTCTCTGATCCGCAGGTGTGGAGGGTGGCAGAGGAGCAGCTTTGCTCTCCATCGGGTTTTTCTTAGCCACTGGGGACGAGGTGGCTGTGATGAGGCGGTGTGTTTTTCCCTAGCTCGGGTCACCACGCGAAACCTTTGCATCTCAGAGATATATTCAGGTTCAAACTGGGCTGAGCGTGGCCTGGGGTGGTTTATGTTTTTGCTCTCACCAATTTTCTGCCGGAGACAGAGTTGTTATTACTCGGAGCGGAAATGGAAGTTTCTGGAGATGAAGGGCCGATGGTTCAGAAGGCTTTTAATCTCCTCTGCCCAGAGGCCCATTGTGATGAACGGGCGGGCACAGACAGGGTCAGAGGGGAGTCCCTTGAACACAGTCCGGCCGGTCCTCTGGCCAAGATAGCAATTTTGATTGATTGGTTTGCTCAGGAGAAGGAGGGGCCGCTAGACCGTGGAAAAAGTGACCCCTGCCCCTTCATACAGCCACGGGCTGTTCACGTCTTGCTGTCACTCTGGGTAAAGGAGAGAAATGTTTACTGAGCTAATCACCCACCCTCGGGAGCTCTGAGTTCTTGCAATTATTGATTGGATAGATGGATTGTTCCCATTGTCCAGATGAGGAAACCGAGGCTGTGGGGCAGCAGAAAACTCGCCCGAATTCACACAGCTGTCACGCACTTGAGCTGGGACTTAAATCGTGTTCTTTCTAATGCAGAGTAGATCAGTTCAACCATCAGATGTGATTCGAGAACCCAAATCAATCCCTCCAAGAAGGTCTTTCTCTAAATCTGGGAGTTTTATTTGTTGATTTACTTACGTGACATCGGACATCTGGCTGGATGTCGAGGCTGTCCCCTGGGAGTGAGCCTAGTTCTGACGTGTCTGACCTCCAGTGAGATGAGAGTCTCTCTGAGCCTCGGTCTCTTCTTCTGTGAAATGGGGATAATTATAGGTTTGCCACATACACAGTCGTGAGGACCAGCTGAGCTCATGCCTGTCAGGCATGACCTTGTCCACAGGGCCTGGCACACAGTAAGTGCTTAATAAATGGTGGCTGTCATCATGTTGCTTCTTAACTCCTTTCTCTGGTATTTACAGCCTCTGGCCCCCTGGCCACTGTGGCTGAATGCCGTCCCCCTGCTTCTAGCCCTAAGAGTGCTTGGAACTGACCTTGGCACGACACGGGGCAGCAGCAGTCTGTCCTCGGGCATCACTATCCCATGAGTGAACATGAGGACAGTCCCCCTGGGGGTTGACTAGTGCTCTGCACGTTAGTTTGGGCCAGAGTATTTGGGTCCTGCCCCTGGCAAGGGGTCTTTGAGGATTCTCCACGGCTCCTGCCTTTCTGCCCCTGCTCTGGTGCCCACCTGAGAGGGAAGGTTGGTCTGTCCACCTTGGGCAGCAGCCAAGACCTTTATTCAAAGGCAGCTCCCAGCACTTGGCCCTTGGACCGTCCTGGCCTTTGTGGGCGAAGAGGTTGTCCTCTGACCTCCTGAAAAGGGACAGGATGGCATTGGCGTCCCCGTGGGATGAGCTGGAACCCCTTGGACCAGCCCCACATCCATTGATGCCAAGGAATAGCAGAAGGACAGACAGCCTGGAGGGTGGGACGGGCTCCAGTCGAAGAAACAGGAAGCTCTCTGCTGGAGCCCCAGTGCCACCAACGGCCTGTGTGTCCTTGTCCCTGCTGGCCGGGTGGACAGTCCTCACGTTCAGACTCCCCACGCTCTGGGAGGCCGGCAGCGAGCGCTGTTCTGGGTTTACAGATGGGAGAGGAGCCCGGAGGGCGCCTGGCCTTGCCCCGGGCTGTGTCTTGAACCCAGACCCAGCCCTCGCCTGCAGCCCACCTCTGCAGCCCACCCAATTCTTTTCTCTCTCTGGGTCTCCGTGTCCCCAACTCTGCAAAAAGAGAGTCCGCAGAGGCCCATTCCAGAGCTGGGGAATTTGGCCCTTCTGAGGCTCACCCCCAACCCACTTCCCCTCGCCAAGTCCCTGATCCTTTAGGATGCGGTTTGGAAAGAGCCCCTCGGCCAGGGCTGGATTCTTCTGCTTGTCTGGGTTCCCAGCCCCCCTCTACCCCGAGTACCGAGCCTCGGAGCCTCAGGGTGGCCGGCGGTCCTGTGTGGGCTGCGAGAAGGACGTCACCTCCTCGGGGCTCGCCCTACTCCCCTGGTGTAGGGGTGATGAGTCGGGGAAGGTAGGGGTGCCCCAGGAGCCCCAGCTCATGGAGGAAGCAGGGTTCTCCCGGGCTCCCAGCCCTCTGTGTTCTCGGGCTCACTCAGTAAGAATCAGGCACGGTATCAGACTCTCCTGTTCAGCCCTTATGTAAAGCAACTAATAAAACTCCCAGATTTGGACAAAGGCCTCCTTGGTGGATACTTGAGTCTCCAGACACCGACTCAGAAAGGAACTTGCTCCCTGAGAAGCAGCAGTGGGCGCACCTCTCCATGCTCACTACGCAGACGGCCCTCACCTTACAGGGGAGTCCCGTCGACCCCTTGTAAATCCAAGATACCCCAAGTCAGGGACACATAGAACACGCCCACCGGACATCACAGCTTAGCGTAGCCCCCATAACGTGCTCACGACACTAACATTAGCCTATATCTGGCAAATCATTGAGCCAAAGCTTAGTTTTAAAATAATTTTAAATTTGCTCTAATTAGTTATCCATGACAGTAGAATGCACTTTGACACATCCCACATAAATGGAGCATCACTTCTCATTCTTCTGGTTGTCTGTGATGTAGAGTTACACGGGTCATGTAACCATGTGGAATAAAAATGTCCAATTCATTCTACTATCCTTCCTCCCCCCAGGGCCCCCCTCTCCCTTTACTCCCCTCGGTCTAATCCAAAGTACCTCTATTCTTCCCTAGCGCCCCACCCCATTGTGAATTAGCATCCTCATATCAGAGAAAACATTCAGCCTTTGGTTCCTTGGGATTGGCTTATTTCATTTAGCATAATATTCTCCAGCGCCATCCATTTACCGGCAAATGCCATGATTTCATTCTTCTTTAAGGCTGAGTAATATTCCATTGTGTCTATGTACCACATTTCCTTTATCCATTTGTCTGTTGAGGGGCACGTAGGTTGGTTCCATAGTCTAGCTATTGTGAGTTGAGCTGCTATAAATATTCATGTGGCTGAGCCACTGTACTGTGCTGATTTTAAGTCCTCTGGGTATAAACGAAGGAGAGGGATAGCTGGGTCAAATGGTGGTTCCGTTCCAGGTTTTCTGAGGAATCTCCACACTGCTTTCCGTGATGGTCGCACCAATCGGCAGCCCCACCAGCAACATATGAGTGTACCTCTTTTCCCCACATCCTTGCCAACATTGATTGTTGCTTGTATTTTCGACAAAGCTTATTTTATAAGAGAGTTGAACATCTCGTGTGGTTTATTAAATACTGTACTAATAGTGAAGAAACAGACGGATCATATGAGCAGGCTTTGACTCCATCATCGAGTACAAAAATCAAATCAGGGCAGTTGATCCATGAGCCATCCTAAGTCAGGGCCCGTCTGTATTTATTCCATGCTGCTTGGGTCGGGGCTGAGGGTCGCCACCCATGTACCCCATTTGGGGTCCAACAAGCTGTGTACCTGTGGCTCTTCAGAGGGTCATCTCAGATCCCAAGTACATAGATGAGGCTGTCTCTAGGTACCCTAAAAAAAAAAGTTACTTTAGAGTGAAAAAGAGCCACCTAAATGAAAAGTCAATTGTTCATCATCCTTTATCACCAGCTGGTGGAAGGGATTTTGGGTTTGGAACAACTAAGCCGCTGCTGAACAGTCATTAGGCAAATCAGTGAACCTCCTGAGCCCGTTTTCTACCCCGCGAGGATGCAATGAGGCTAAAACGAGGAGCACAGATAAATTTCCTAGCCCGGGGGCTGGTGCTCAGGGCGCTGCTGCGTCTCCATAAAGGGTCGGCGGGGAGCTATTGCTGTGTTAGATGATGGAGTCACTTGGAACAGGGGTGCAATGACAGTAATAGCCGTTGGCATTTATTCTGTGCTGACAATATTTCAGACGTCGTGCAAAGCAATTTCCTTTTATTTCATCCATGCTGCATCGTCCTCTAGAACCCAAGCACCATTATTATCCCCATTTCACAGATGAAGAAACTGGGGCTGGGAGAGTTTCAGTCACAAGCCCAGGGCTACAAGGTCAGGAAAGGTGAGACATTCGCACTCATCCTGAGTCCTTTAACCTACAACTCGGGGCTGCGAGGGACAACACCATCTTCCTTGAACCCCTGGCTGCTCAGCAAGTGGGGAACTGAACTTGCTGAGTTTTTCTCTCCCGGTTGGAGAGTTGCCCGTCAGCATGCTGCGCTGGTGTAGAGAGCAGCACCCACGCTGGCTAGCCACTCGCCACCCCTCCTGGGCTCTCTTTTAATATTCATGACACCCATGGGCCCAGGTGCTGGCCATCCCCGTGGGGGCCAGGCAGCTGCCCACAGTGGCCAGGAAGCCAGCCGCGGGCAGCTTCTGCGGCTCTTTCATCCTGGGTGTCGGGGTCAGGGCTGGGGTTTCTTTGTTAGCTGCCCTGGGGGTGGAGAGCTTCAGGGCAGCGGCTGCGGCGGGGAACAAGTGGCCGATGGGTCTGGAACTTTCCTATTTGGATCATAATGGCACCAGCTGGAGCTGAGACAGAGGCACTGGTCTTAGGAAGTATTCGCTTTTGCAATGTTATCTGGAAAGAGCACGTGCCCTCGTCCGGGGCTGTCATCCCGGGTCCTCACTGGGTC